TCATTATCTGGGTACGAGTGTAGTTTTTTCCGTTGTGTTACGTTTGCATCATCCATTACACAGCGTGATATATAACAAAATACAAGGAGCGTACCGATATAGATTAATATAAGTCAAAATACCGCTGCCACCAATGTACTGCAGAGTGTAGTGTTGAAAAAAATAATGTAAGTCGTGGTAGCGTCAATTGAGATATTTAATACATGTAATACTAATTATGAACAATTAAAACATTGCCTTCCGATGCACACAACTCCTTACAGTATCACTTATTACAAAAACAACATAAGCTGGAATACCGGTGTACGTATACGTCCGTCTAGTTCTCGGGTCACAGCTGGAGAGAAAGAGAGCCTACCAATCACCTGTACACGTGTTCTCTCGTCACGCCCTAGCACACACGGATACGTCTAACCGCCACTGAGTGGGACATGTACCGCCAACTAAATCAGTTAATGTTCCAAGCATTACACTATGGATACAATATTGTTTGATAGATGACAGACATTTAATTGCAGTGCACTACTGCACCTGCCCAGTAGGTCAGAGGGCTGTCGGTATGTGTGCACATACAGTCAATGTTTTATCTCATTTTGGTAAATATTCAAAGGAACCATGCAATAAAAATTAAGACGACATCAGTTTATGAATCAAATGTGTTAGATTCCACAACCACCAGAACTTCAACCAAAAGAAAAAATGCATTATAAATTTCAAGCCTTTATATGTCACGATTACAACAATTGGGCATATGCATTGTAATCACGGTAGTATATTTCACATGGACTTAAATGGGTAACGCAAATCACCAATGCCTTAGCGAGATGCGTTTGCTCAGCGGTTAAGGTGTAATGTACGTTTTCACCGCTAATGCACTTCACCTCTGGGTTGCGAAACCCATGTGAAGCATTTGCCATGTACTGACCGCAGGTCAGTGGTTTTTCGCACTTAGTAGCATTGGTAATGGAGTAAGAGAAATGTTCATAATCTGGTGAAAAGATATATTTGTACCACCAACCTTAATAATTAAAACAGGTCTCTGCAATTCCAACACAGTTATTTCCTGACTTTGTAATGTAAGCACAAACGAAGTTGTGTGAAAATTGAATAATAAACTCAAGCGATGAAGAAACTTTGAAGATGATTCTAGGCAAGACGTCGAGTATAATGTTAAATATTTTAAAATCAGAATGAAGATCAATTCATACAGAGCAAACTGCAAAATCAACCATTTGTATCAATTGATTTAGGAGAAATTGAAGGGAATTGAAAGAGAACTTTGTAATTGGAAATCGAAATGGGCTGATTGTTTGAGCTGGCTAACCAGTACCGGGTATGTCCCCTATTTACTCTCTCCTCAACCCTGATTCTCCTAGGCATGGCGTAAATAAATGAGTTTTACATCCTTATTGTTGGCCAATTGGCCCAAGAGGGCTGCTCTCAGTTGGGCATGAGTAACGGGGAAGGCTATCGTCGTCGAACCTGTCTATCCAGCTGGCCTCACAAATATTCAATAGGGGATAGGTCTATTGGGTGGATATTGATGTTAGTGAGAAAGATCCTCGCTACATGGGGACGAGCATTTTCCTGCTGTGGTGTGAGGTTTTGCTGCAATAATGGGACAACATGGTTTAGAATAATCTCATCTCTTTACCTAGCGGCACTTAAATTACCTACCACAACCAGTGGTGATTTACCTCCATGTGAGATCCCCCAACACAATAACCGATCCACCTATCCGGCAAAACGACTTTGAGGACTTAGATATTCAGTACTTTCAGTAATTTGATTTGTAGTGCAAGGATGATACAGTAAGGAAGTTTAAGAACTTTGGCATATCCAGTGAAATATCATACCATCAATTATATGACAGGGAGACATATTCCTGACGTAATTATCAAATGTTAAAATTTTGGAGTACTCAAGGTTTATGGAAATCTCAGAAAAAGTGGCGCTGCAATCACATATGTCATGTTTCAAGAAAACAAAGATACTGTTTCACTGTATCTTGAGCTCATTATTTGGTTTATATTACCATCAAAAAAAAAAAAAAAACAAAACAAAACAAAACAAAAAAAAAAAAAAAAAAAAAATCATCGTGTGCCGCCATGGAACAACTACTTTCCACTCGACGAAATATTGCTGCTTTCCCTTTATTATAGGTAAATAGACAAATATTAGCGTAACTGTAAAAGTCCGCAAGACAGAAATAAAAAATAACCGGAGTGAATATAAACCAATCATACTGAAGTTCGTGGCAAGAATAGGACAATCATCGGCGCAATCGATTTTGTTTTACGTACGCTACATAATTGGTGACCCTATTTACAGATTATCTTTGGTCCGTAGTCAGTCTCCGCTGATGAGCAACCTATTCTCATAATGGTTCACGTTGAAAAAATACATTCATATATCTTTTTTGAACCTTCATTAACAATACTGTGATGCGGCCGTGATTCCGGACCACCGGACCGGTTTCTATTTTATGTGTTAGACATTGTTGATGTTTTTCCGGTTTTTTGTCGAGTTTTACCGCCATTAAAGGTTGACAAAACTCTGACGAGTTAACTTGTCATTGCGCAAGCCTTCTACAAATATTCGAGCACAACAAGTGGTGTCAGAAGTGGAATTTGGTTATACGCCCAGGAGGGAGTCAAAAGCCCGATTCTGTTTGTGTAATAATGTACTGCAACTCATACCTCGGAGTGGACAGGAGTCTGCTACAGGTATAGTGTACGGTGTAAGTTAGTGTAGTGTCACAAAATAGTGTACGGTGTAAGCTATTGTAGTGTCACATAACGATTGCACCTTGTCTCATTCTCCTTATTTTAGTTAAGATTATAATTAGGTGAGAGTTATTCACGTTTAACTCCAAAGCATGTCGACATATTAAATTTAGGCAGTTTTCGTGCATTTTGTTTATATGAGGCATGTTTTGAACTACATGTACTTTCGTCTTACATTTATATTGTTTTGGCAACAGTACTGTCGGCGTTCACTGCGAACACCGGTTTGTTAAACGAATCATTCACAGCGAACGGTCAACTTTTCTCTTTCAGCGGTCAGAAAAAGATCTTGTAGACTACATATACTCACACAATGTGACAGTACCGCATCAGGAATCAGATTACGTGCCCCTGCTTGTGTCTGACAAAAAAGGAAAACGACTAGCAGCTGTGTGTAGGGAGGATAATTTAAAACTGCCCATACAGTTTGCTTGTAGAGCTGGTGCCAATATATCAAACCTTGTTGCCTTACTCAAGGAACAAATCCCCATACCAAAGAGGAAATTTGGTAAACTTGTTTATGTTTATTTCTGGGGTGGAACCTGTGATATCACAACAAAGCAAGGTAAATTCATAGACATTGCCGGGAGTTGTGTTAGAACTGTGAACAAAATCATAAACAATTACATAAGTGCAAGAGATTACACAGTTAAACGGGGATGCAAAATTCAGTTTATAGGGGTACCAGTTTACTCTGTGAGTCTCTACAACGACATTAAAGGTCATAAATCTCCATATGAATTCCTCGAATCAGATGATGAAGTTGCTAGACAGGTACAGCTCTTGAATTCTAAAATTGAAAGTCCCAATACTGAACTCGGAACAACAACACTCAAATTTAATGCTGACCTGCGTGACTGCAGAAAGAAAGGGAAAGAGCGCTATTTCATAGACTTACTAGATGATGGTCTACACCCCGGAGAACTACTAACAAGGAAGTGGGGGTGTCGATTAAGATTGGACATCATAAAATAGTGCTATATTGATAAGTAAGTGCTAGAAGTGTAAGTTGACAAACAGGAACTTTTAGCTTTCGAACAAGCTAAAGAGGACTAGCATGGCACATCTTAGTGATCAGCCTCCAGAGGAACAGCTGGGGGGTCAGGATGACACGGCGTCATTTGATCCCAAGGTGGCAAATGACATGTTTCTTGTCATAATGAAGAGTTTTGATGAACAACGCGAAACACCAATGGGAATATTTCGTGAGGTTATGAAAGATTTTGATGAGGAAAAAAGAAAACACCTCGCGGAACATAATGAAATGGTGAGGTCTTTCGTGCAGGAGGCGCGCAAAGAGATCAGGGCGCCCTGTCTCAGCAAGCACCACCATTAGCCCAGAGGTCCTTCGTTTCAGACGAGCAACAAGATGGATTTAAAACCACATGGGATCAAAGGTCATATGGCGGCTTTGATGAGGAACTGCGAGTGATACGCGAGAGAGAACACTCATATTCAAGCCCAAATTATTCCCAACTCAGTGGACTGAACAACTCGCTCTCTAGTACACCCTCGTCCGAAAGGCAAGTTTCAGAACGCCTCGACAAGGGCCCAGGGAAAGGCCCTCAGACAAAACTCCCGGTGTTTGAAGGAAAGGAAGATGTGGAGACTTTCATTGTTCCTTTTGAAAGATTAGCAGATCGGTATCACTGGTCAGATAGTGAGAGGGTTGATAGGCTATATGAATGTCTCAAGGGCAGGGCCATGTGGTATGTCTGCTCACTGCCAGAAAACATAAGAAAAGAGTACAAGAACCTGAGGCAAAGTCTTGTCCAGCGGTTTGGACGGAGGGACCCTCCATCAACAGCAAGATCAAAGCTGCACGAAATACGGCAACATAGCTTGAGCAACGATGAATTTGGAGAGGAAGTTAGACGCCTAGTTACTTTGGCTTATCCGGGGGAAGATTTAAACTTACAGGACCAATTAGCTGCAGAAGCCTTTCTTAAGGGATACAAGACATCACGGGTAGCATACGACGTTTTGAACAAGAACCCCAAAACACTCAATCAGACAATAGAAATGGTAACTTCACAGGATTACAACTTCAAAGCCACCCTGGGGAGATGGGGCCTGTAGTGCGGATACAGATGATGAAGGGGTGTTGAATGCACAGCGTGTTCACATTCTGCCAAATGCTGCCAGCCGGGATGGACTTGAGGCGAGAATGAAACAACTTGAGGATCTGAGTGTCGATCAAGATTCGATGAAACTATGAAGGAACGCCAGTTAGCTACTAAGGAAGGTAAGGAATGTTACCGGTGTGGTGGCAAGGGTCACTTTCAGAGAGATTGTAGCTCTGGTAGGTCCAGATCACCTACATCTCCCAGCAGGCCACATTCTCCGCGACATGACATAAAGATTACCAGGGCCAGCAGAACGGGGAAAAGCATTGTTGTTCCGATAATTGTCAATGGGGAACCTACTGAAGCTGTCATCGACACGGGAGCGGACGCAACAGTTATCTCTGACAGATGGGCGAAAGAGGTTGGACTCAAGTATGAGAAACCGGGAACGGAAATAAATTTATTAACAGCGGAAGACGGGGCACAGATGACTGGGGTAGGAGTAGTCACTGCGACTCTCCAACTTGGTGAGGAAGTGAAGAAATTACCAGTGGTGATAGCCCCTATTAGGGATAACATGCTAGTTGGTATTGACCTGCTCCAATCGGTACTTGCAGTCATCCATACAGGAGAGAAAAATATTGAAGTCAGTGGGAAGTTGCTTCCAGGTTTCTCCCAAATGGCTGATACTGATATTGCTAGAAGTGTAGTGCGAGTTGATGCTAGCGTGGTGATTCCACCAGGAAGTGAGAAAATGATAGTGAGTCGGTTGGAAAATCCCTCTCAACCTTCCCAGGCAATATTAGAGACATTCAATCATCAGAGCGGGTTGCAAATTGGATCATGTCTTGTCTGTATGAACCAAACTGTTCCTGTGAGGGTCCTTAATCTGAAGGACTGCGAGATCAAACTCTCGGAGAGCACCTTCCTAGGAAAAGTTGAGGAGGTAGATGTTGACCAGAAGTTCAACAACGCAGAGGCAGTTTTCCCTATTGCAGAAACAAAACATTTACAAAACTCTGTAGGTGTGGATATATGTGTTCCTTTACACTTGCAGGACCTTTTCTCAGAATCCTCGAATGGCCTGACAAATCCTCAGAGACAGAGACTCTGTATGCTTCTAAAGGAGTTCCCTGATATCTTTGCAAAGGACGACTACGATTTGGGCACTTTCAGCGGTGTAAAACATCGAATTGACACCGGTGAAGCAATGCCAATTCGCCAGCCAGCCAGGAGGACTCCATTAGGATTCCAAGGCGAAGAAGATTCCCACCTTCAAAAACTGATGGAAACTGGAGTGGTCATCCCATCAAGTTCCGAGTGGGCATCACCAGTAGTGTTAGTTCGGAAAAAAGACGGTGGAGTGCGATGGTGCGTTGATTACCGAAAGGTGAGTGAAGTCAGTGTAAAGGACGCCTATCCACGTCTAAAAATTGTTCTTAACATCCACGTAGAAGGTGTATAGCTTCTCCTTGATTTGATGTTTATATGATTAATATAACTTATATTGGAGATAAAATAAGAAAAATGAAGGAAAGATGAAGAGGAATATCTAATGTGTCAACATACACATTTATTCTCTACGATATAAGTTATTTTGTTAGGTGTCTGAATTTATTGTCGTTATATTTCACTGTTGTTTTGTTAAATTATTACTTTCCACTATGCCATTTCAAGATATGTAGATGGATCTTTTCAACTCGTCTTCTTACATTATATTACCGTTTCGTGTGTTTCGCATCGCTCTGAATCCTAACATGAACGTCATTACATTCAACTTGCTGTAATCGTTTGTTATTCAACCGTAAACATTTTCTACTTCGAGGGAACAGTTGCACTGTAAAGATAGTACAAAGGACACATGTGGATGTCACGTTTAAATAGAAATGTAGTGTTAGATACAGTGGAGCTAAATAATGAATTAAACTGCATCATACAGCCGTTCAGTCCTTCTAGTACTCGTCAATGTTTCTAAGAGCATAACGTTTGAAGGTTAGTAGGCGACTTGGGAAATTTCAAAGTGATGTAAAGAAAAGTCTCTATTTGGAGGTGCACTAGCCCCAGTATTCAATAAATGTCGTATTTTTACTCATCAGATCATTTAAGAACAAAGTCCATTCAATGTGTATACATTGTACATGAAAACCGAATCCTTATATAGTCCATTCCATATGTAGGTTTTGCTGTGAATTCCATCTCTAATCTCCTGAGCCGAGCGGCTGTCGTAGGTTGTCGACAAAGTCTGACAAATTTAGTAAGCAGATACTTTATTTTCTCTCACATCCCTCATAACGCTATTATATTTCATATCAGGTTTATCTTTTCAAGTAGTCGGGAGGCAGTAAACAAGTAAAGATAGAAAGTGTAATGATATAAACAACACCTTAATCAATAATCCAAAAACATTTCTCGTTTTTAGTTACATTTTGTATGTAAAGAAAGAACCTTGATTACAAATCAAGAAGCAGAATCCTATCTCTTTTTCCATTCTGTGGAGAGACTTTGTGATGGTTGTGCTGGAGATATCTTATTTTAATTAATGTTCAGCTAACATCGTCATGCACAATAATCAATAAGCTATGGAAAAGTGCGATGGTACCACAATATATACAACTCAATATCTATGTTAGCGATGATGATGTCAAATACAGATATCTCCATTTAGGTGCTTTATGATGCAAATACCTTGGTATATTTTATTACACGTACACTTTGCTACTGAGAATATACACCGTTTCCTAGAGACCCACTGGTTAAGGCGGTTGGCCATCTTGATTGTTAGCACTCCACCTGTGGGTTGTGAGTTCAAGGCTTACATGGAGCAGTTCCCAAGAACTGGTTACATGTCAGGGGATTTTGTTTGGGTTAAGTCCGACTTTCATCCACCATCCAAACCAGACATGTCTTTAAATGACTAGGACGCAAAGATAAATTAAATTGGATCTTTCCAGTATTTCAGCTGTAGTGTCAGTTTCAAATAAGAATTTTAACTCCTATAATAAAACGTTAAGCTAGAAAAAATTCGAATCCTTATCCCTTGTTTATGTAAATATTGCCTTCTTCATGAGATGGAACCCTTTACGATTTATTGTTAGATATTTATCAAACGATAGAAGAGGAGGTATCCTCATGTAAGAGACTAAAAACATCGATATGGTAAAGAAAGTTTCTAACATTTTTGTATTCGGAATGCAAGATACATAGCCGGAAATAATTTCAAAAGATGAATTATAATCATACCGTTGTTAATTCATTTAAAAATATGAAAAATAGTGTTTATGTTCATTGCTATACATCATTGCAGCGACAATAGGATATTTCTTTAATCCCAACCATATCGTATTTATTGTTTTCCAGTTTTTGTATCATTAAAGGCACATTAGAATATGGAACTGAGATTATATATAGAGAGGAGCCACCTGTACATTGATCGTTTATCAAAGATAAAATTAAAGTTTGTATCATTGTATGATGTGTTAAAATACCTTAAGCCGTTTCTCGCTACTTATTAAACATCTCCTTTGCTGCATCGTCATGTTTATGAATATTTCTGTATTATAGATTGACACCAATTTCCGATGTTGTATTTCCCATATGTTAAGCCAGGGCCGATGACTTAAATACTACTTACCAGTGTTGTAGCTATCGTGTGTTATTTTACGGTAGTAATGTCGAACTTCCATATATATTATAAATATTTAAACAATATTTTGTATCACAGACATATTGGTTATCATAACATAAAAAATGTAACACTGTGTAACATATTTTAATATGTTTTCTGCACACTGTGGGTAAAGTTGTAAAGACTGAGTCTATCACCAGTTTGAGTTTTAGCATCAATGGTCCCCAAGAATTCTGTAATCCATGTAAATTTTAATCATGAATGTATTTGAACATCTGTTAAAGTTACATTTTATAAAACATAGTGATCAACATGTACACCCTTCGTTATAGTGACGTTGTAGTCCTACTATACATATGATAAACGTGTACACCCTTCGTTATAGTGACGTTGTAGTCGTACTATATATATGATTACCGTGTGAAATCTTCGTTATAGTGACGTTGTAGTCATACTATAGATATGATAAACGTGTACAATCTTCGTTATAGTGACGTTGTAGTCGTACTATATATATGATAAACGTGTACAATCTTCGTTATAGTGACGTTGTAGTCCTACTATATATATGATAAACGTGTACACCCTTCGTTATAGTGACGTTGTAGTCGTACTATACATATGATAAACGTGTACACCCTTCGTTATAGTGATGTTGTAGTCCTACTATATATATGATAAACGTGTACACCCTTCGTTATAGTGATGTTGTAGTCCTACTATAGATATGATAAACGTGTACACCCTTCGTTATAGTGACGTTGTAGTCCTACTATAGATATGATAAACGTGTACACCCTTCGTTATAGTGATGTTGTAGTCCTACTATAGATATGATAAACGTGTACACCCTTCGTTGTAGTGACGTTGTAGTCCTACTATAGATATGATAAACATGTACAATCTTCGTTATAGTGACGTTGTAGTCGTACTATATATATGATAAACGTGTACAATCTTCGTTATAGTGACATTGTAGTCCTACTATATATATGATAAACGTGTACACCCTTCGTTATAGTGACGTTGTAGTCGTACTATATATATATGATAAACGTGTACAATCATCGTTATAGTGACGTTGTAGTCATACTATAGATATGATAAACGTGTACACCCTTCGTTATAGTGACGTTGTAGTCGTACTATACATATGATAAACATGTACACCCTTCGTTATAGTGATGTTGTAGTCCTACTATATATATGATAAACGTGTACACCCTTCGTTATAGTGACGTTGTAGTCGTACTATATATATGATAAACGTGTGAAATTTTCGTTATAGTGACGTTGTAGTCATACTATAGATATGATAAACGTCTACAATCTTCGTTATAGTGACGTTGTAGTCGTACTATATATATGATAAACGTGTACAATCTTCGTTATAGTGACGTTGTAGTCCTACTATATATATGATAAACGTGTACAATCTTCGTTATAGTGACGTTGTAGTCCTTATATATATGATAAACGTGTACACCCTTCGTTATAGTGACGTTGTAGTCGTACTATACATATGATAAACGTGTACACCCTTCGTTATAGTGACGTTGTAGTCCTACTATAGATATGAGAAACGTGTACACCCTTCGTTATAGTGACGTTGTAGTCGTACTATATATATGATAAACGTGTACACCCTTCGTTATAGTGACGTTGTAGTCCTACTATAGATATGATAAACGTGTACACCCTTCGTTATAGTGACGTTGTAGTCCTACTATAGATATGATAAACGTGTACACCCTTCGTTATAGTGACGTTGTAGTCGTACTATATATATGATTACCGTGTACAATCTTCGTTATAGTCACGCTGTAGTCCTACTATAGATATGATAAACGTGTACAATCTTCGTTATAGTGACATTGTAGTCCTACTATATATATGATAAACGTGTACACCCTTCGTTATAGTGACGTTGTAGTCGTACTATATATATATGATAAACATGTACAATCATCGTTATAGTGACGTTGTAGTCATACTATACATATGATAAACGTGTACACCCTTCGTTATAGTGATGTTGTAGTCCTACTATATATATGATAAACGTGTACACCCTTCGTTATAGTGACGTTGTAGTCGTACTATATATATGATAAACGTGTGAAATTTTCGTTATAGTGACGTTGTAGTCCTACTATATATATGATAAACGTGTACACCCTTCGTTATAGTGACGTTGTAGTCGTACTATACATATGATAAACGTGTACACCCTTCGTTATAGTGACGTTGTTGTCCTACTATAGATATGATAAACGTGTGCAATCTTCGTTATAATCACATTGCAGGAATGCTATGGGTATGATAAACAATTAATCAACACAAATCACCGAAGACGGTATTGTTATCAGAAAACTAATGATTGCATTCCCTAGCCTGTTAGAAAAGGTGCAACAAAATATTTCTAACCATCAATATTAAGCACCTTTTATTTTAAGAGTCTTTAAAATGAAGACATGCTTCTGCAGCTGTTGTATCTGAAATTATGAAAGGAAAAGAAGTTAAAATGTCATGTTTATGCAATGATATGATCCATTCATCTGTAGATGAAACCTTTTATGTCTTATATAACAACAAAAAAAAGTTGGTGACGATCAGGTTCACTGAGTCTGTCTATCTGTACCATTCGTCAAGGGAGGGGGTGTAGGTTGCTGGATGTATTGTTGTTTGCGTGCGGCATGATACCATCCGGAACTTTGTGACTTTACGGTAACTGGTGTACGACACATCAGAAACGTGATACCCAACTGGAGGTTATGAATGGCTATCAGCACATGAGCATGTAACAATGTTTCTTGTGGGAGTAAATTTGTGTGTTTATTTCTGATTAACGTTTATTAACTAACTAATTTGTGGCTCCATTATCCTCCTATGAATCAGTTGTCCTATTCCTTTAACGCAAAGCATGTGTGGCAATCTGGTCACGGAGATGTTCAAATTTCATTAAAAGAGCCATGGATGTATACACGGTAGAATTTGAAGATCTGATGATATCAACACAACAGACGATGTCCACTGCGATGTTAAAATATGATTTCCGAAATTTTGAACGCTGACCCGGATGTCTTCATTATTTACTTTGATGACGATGTGATTTCTTTGCCGTGGTTAGTTACACCTCCCATAGTAAGGTTGGTAACAGGTAAATGTTACCCCGGCCGGCCTACGTCAATCATCATGTGTACAAATAGAGGCTGGTCTCGACTGAATACAAGTCTGTAAGGCACATTTACCAGTCCGTCCATTTGAAACCGTTTATTAACACTTTTGAGTAATTTTGTTCTGAAATAAAATATACATCCAATATAACAAATGCATGAAAGCACACAAAAGTCAATAGATACCTGTCATAAAGCACATTACGTTGTGACTCAAATGAAGTCAAAAAACTGATAGCTAAATCTGATGAACTGTTGACTCTTTTCAGTGACGCTTTGTTTGATAGTTAGACTGGTATAACAGCTGCTTTGGGAAAGTTATTTGATGTTATAAAGTATCACACATTAATAACTTGTCATTCTCAGATTATATTAAATTATTAAATTGATCTAATGCTGACCATTTGGTATTTTTTGTTTTTGTAATAGTCAACAATTATTACAGTTATCGTAATAGCGGATGTTGTTGATGCAGGTAAAAGTAATTACATAATTATTTAAAAAGACATCGATGATATATTATATTTATGATTTCGGACCGTCTGAAATATATATCATTTTCTCTCTATGGAACAATGGAAATCACTGTAAGATGGCAATTTCTGTTGAAATTTGATTCCTGATGGTAAGTGTTTTATTTGCATACTGACATTTCACACTGGATGACATTCTACTTTAAGAAGATATTAAAATATTAATTTTAATTCCTGATATATAATACAGTTTGTACCATAACTATCAGACTCCAACATCAGCTTTAATCTAAATACAACTAATTTGATTTTACAAACCTTGTTCAGTAGTTTCCTTAAGTAACTGATACCAATTATCTTTTAAGGGCACTAATATGATACTTAAAAAAATGTTTAAACGACATCTTCTAATGACGTATCAAATATTGTGTCGATGTATTTCACGACTTTCGTTCCAAATAACATGTTTATTGAGATAGAAAAAACAAACATTTGTTTCGTATTGGTCAATATTGTTTATCATTATGTTGCCCTTGATTCTTATTAATAAACACATAACATAGTTTGACTACCAATTCATTTAAATAAATAAAACGTACAAAATAGGCAATAAAAGATAATCCGTAAACTTTAAAATTACTAGAATGATATGTGTTAACGTAAAGATGGTGACGACAATGCATGGAATCGTGAAATGATTGGATATTATAAGTTGCTTTTCGTCACATTATGACAAAATTATGAAAAGGTAACGGTTAGGGTTAGGGTAATGGTGAACGCCGATAATCTTTAGAGACAAGCCGAGGCCACAGTTCGTTAGGGTTAGGGTTATCATGAACGGCGATAATCATTAGAGACATGCCGATGCCATAGTTCTTTACTAGCAAAATGAAGAAAATCGATGCCATGCTAACCCTAACCCTGACTCCAACTCCAAATGTGAAATGTTTATGTCAAAATAACAGGAAGGAGATAACGTCACTGAATTACAGATATTTTTATCGAATTGTTTTATACTACTAGCACAATTTCAGAATGTGTAGAGATGACGACACATGTCAGACACCATTTCTCAACAACAGTTTAGGCACGATATTGTTAATGGTATAACACGTACTGTGGTGAATGATTTTAGCGTCATGGAAACATCTGATTATACCACAAATTCCAAACCCACCTACCGTATATGAAAGTAGATATTAGGGAGAGAAGAAATAGCAAAACAACATCGTGAGATTCTACTTAGCAATATAAAGCAAGAACTACTTAAGACGTCATATTCTTGAACCTAAACAAAGTGTGGCTACGTGAACCGCGGTTAGACTTGGAAACTCAATGACAAAGCTGTACAGGTGCCAGATTACTTGAAATGGTACCAAGCCAGTTGTTAGTCAACATGAGAGACCAACAGACTAAAAAAAAACTTCTCAAAATTACGGCCATGTCTGAAATAATGAGGGTGTCAATGGAAAGCGTAAAAGCTTAATCCTAAACCATGTTATGGTTATCGTGTTTATCATAAATAAGTGGATATTAATTCCCAGTACTTGTAGTTAATTGATGAATGTTCACACTAATGTTACCTTGAACTCCATGTAGAAGGCTCCCTTTTTTCGTGCCGAAGCATCCGGTATCGAGCTACTACAGCAGATGGACGCATTATACGTAAACCGGAGAGCAATATTCTAGAAAACAAATCAAATGTTACTTATCAAGTATTGTCACTTATTATAGTTATATAATACATCATATCACACAGTTATATTATAATGTTATATCCTATAGTTTTATAATAATGTTATATCACACAGTTATATTATAATGTTATATCACACAGTTATATTATAATGTTATATCACACAGTTATATTATAATGTTATATCACACAGTTATATTATAATGTTGTATCACACAGTTATATTATAATGTTATATCACACAGTTATATTATAATGCTGTATAATGATCATAGTTTTCTTCATGTCCTCAGTCTAATTGTTACATTAAAATCGGATAAAAAGTTACTTCAAACAGTATTTTGTGTTGATGATACTTTCTTTTCGTGACACCTTGAATTTTCATAGAGCTTCAAAGCCAACATTTTGAACATTTGTTTCAAAATTAAATAAGCGTTCATTAGTTTCGTTTATCTAATTTACTTGATGCCACTGACCCATATTCCTAAATCTAGCACAATGGAAATGCTCAAAAAGTTATGCAGAACATGTTTATACCAAAAATTACTGTAAAACTTTAAAGCTGATACAGATATTATTAGTCGACACTATAAAAAATTACAGCTAAAAGGAATGAAAAGTTGCTTGCTTTCCAATGTTAATTTTATTTGATAAATGAAAGTCGTCTTCAGCTTCCCAGCCCAGGTATCCCTCACTTTACAAATTTGCCATTTGTTTGACTATTACATATCTACCTGTAAGCCATATCGTCGTCTTCAGCACCCCAGCCCCAATATTCATTAGAATATCCATTGACAAGTTGGAAATGCTCTGAGGTCATAGCAAGAACGCCACCGACAAGCAAGTCATACTTCAGTCTTAAACAAAAGAAATACGAAATATCAAATACAGGAAAGTCAATTAGGCAAAGAGACTGGAGAGAATGTGAAACTTTATGGAACAATAGTTATAGAGATTAAGAAAAACGTTTTACGATAATTATTAGCATTTGTAGAAATATTGTGTGTAACTGGCCAGCTTGGTCAAGCCTCAAAACGGATGTGTTTGACGTTGTAATAGGTGAATCACAAACTTGTTTGGTTATCTAACTGGATTTTAAATATAGTTTTCAAACTTGCGTTGTTGGACGAGAAGAAGAAGAAAGTCGCTATCAGTATCTTCATTTGTTGTAAATGGTTTTGTATATCATAATTTCATACTAGAATCATATTCAAAGGAATTCAAAGGAATCATAAACAAAATGGTAACGAGTTTAGTAAACATGCTCTTTTCCAGGACTCAAATATAAAAAGTAAGATAAAAATCTCCTGCCCGTAATCTCTTAATCCCTAACCCTGACCCTTACCCTAAGATAGCTACGCATTGTCCGCATTGATACATAAAAGTGACAATGGAATGTTCAGTGATAAATAGAAGGAAGAACTGACGATTCATGATGACAAATTTTGTAATAACTATGGTAAAGTCTTGACAGTTAATGTTTCACTGACGATGAAGAAATGATGATAAATGACGACGTGATGCAAAGAAATGATAAAACGGTACAAACGTCTACTTTAACCTAAGTCTTATTTGGGAAAGACGTGGTTCGAATCCACAAATTGTTACTGTGAATACTTTTCGAAATTGTTCATGCCACAATCTGCAGGAAATTATAATGTATTACTCCCATGTTAAGAACGACAAATTTTCAATTCTCAGAGACCTTCCATTTATCATTCTGTACTCAGTAAAATCAACCGTCTTTTAATCATTTCAGAAAACACAAATCTTCGTTATCTATTACATATTTTGAAGACACAAATATTCGTTGTCTGTTACATATTCCGACACAGATTTCATACTCAGAAACGCAGATATTTCCTAATGTTTCCGAAACATTATCTTTAGGTTGGTCAATGTCAATAAAATAGAAGTTCTTGTAACCTAACTTGTAGCATTTTTATGAATAGCGTTTCAATTGCTACACAGTCTCATTTATCAGACAAAAGACAAGTTTGAAGAGTACTAAATCTTCTTTATATAGGAAACCATTTTCACCGAGGTATGGTTTTGGATTAGCCCGAGAAAACTGTCGATTTCATCCAGTTTTCAATTTTCCTTACGAAATATACACAAGAAAGATATATATCTCAACTGTGAAAGGTAACTTGGTCTGCCCGATATTGCCATACAACTAAAAAAATTGGTGAATGTTAAACTGCAGCGTAAGTATACTTGAAGTTTTTCGTTGTTATCCTAAATGAATGCTAATTTATAATTTCATCATAATGCACCAAATGTGCACGAAATATACCATACCTGTAATGCATTTCATCCACAGCAACCGAAAGATGAGTGGGCTGCCATGGACAGCAATATAGATTTCTATCATTTTCAGGCACTAGATCGACATCATGAAAAATTGCACAATGGAAACGAAAACGTTTATTTGCTTCCAAGAATGCAGCATTCATCAATCGCCCTTTGTTGAACGTAGCGTTGCCAAACTACAGTAAAGCATATTAAGAGAAATTAAGATCTAAGATAAGAAAATATAAGTGTTACTTTCTTGTATGTTTTGAAGTCTTAAAATGACATCTATTTTGCTATATGCTAAGTACAAAATCACTACAGGATATATCGCGTCTGTGTAATTATGTGTCTCTTCTTGCAATGATATGATGTATATCATCAACACTAAAAGCTCCAGAACTTAAAACTGTATAACAATGACTGTTCAAACGATAAAGACAAATATGCACAAGAACGGGTTTAACTGATACAGTTATTTATTTCCCCTTTAATTTCGGCTGTCAATTATTAACGTTTTGTCAAAATCTGCGACGTAAGAGAGTGCTTATAACTCTAACACATACGCTTGTAGCTAATACTATCATTGTAAGGAATGGATTTTGTTGATATTTTGTTGCACCTCTTTGCATTGACCTGTTGAATAAATCAATTTAATCAGGAAGAAATAGGAAAACCGTCACTTGAATGACAGAGAAACTAGGTGTATGAACATTTTATATAACTTCTGTGCATTTGTCATTTTATTCGTTTGATGAACACTTTATAAACTGATTTAGAAGCACTGTCCTATGTGGATGAATGGAAATTTCATACGCTACTTTTATTACCAAATCCTGAAACATTGACTTCAAAGTACCTACGAAATCGGAAAATCAAAAGATCTAATGTCTTCTTCGTTTAGCTCACAGCCAGTGTTTGGTTAAAATGTGAATATAAGATCAAGTAAAAATCTAACATCATTAGAGTCGACAAATGGATAATTCGTTTAACTATTCAGAAATTATCACTTGAGATTATCATGCAAAAAACCATATATTTAGCCATCAGACATCTTTGATTTAAAAATCTTTTAACAAACAGGTCAGCAATGATTAACAAGTTAAGCTATTACTGCCACAGACTAAACTTAACTTTTCTGAAAGCGTATTCCCTATCTGTTGTGTAATTTGTTGTCAATCGTGAACACGTACCTGCTCAGCGACTAAAATCCTAAACTCCAGTTGTTGACGTTGGAGCATACCAACTAAATTATGTAAAAGAATTGTCAAATGTCGCCACCGATCTCTGAATGGAATTACAATAAGCACATGATGACGCGATACGCAGGCTTTGGGTTTCCAGTAACCACCTGACACAACAGCAAGTCTCGATTCCAGGCGACATGTCGCGTCACAGTTCTGGACGGAAATTTCTCCTACTGAAAAAGAAATGATGTGAAATATTATTTCTCATTTTCAAGTATTACGAAATAATATCTGATATTTATATACTGTTATATACTGTTATTGTTGGCAATATCTGATACTTATATACTGTTAATGTTGGCAATATCTGATACTTATATATTGTTAATGTTGGCAATATCTGATATTTATATACTGTTAATGTTGGCAATATCTGATACTTATATACTGTTATTGTTGGCAATATCTGATACTTATATACTGTTATTGTTGGCAATATCTGATACTTATATACTGTTATTGTTGGCAATATCTGATACTTATATACTGTTAATGTTGGCAATATCTGATACTTATATATTGTTAATGTTGGCAATATCTGATATTTATATACTGTTATATACTGTTAATGTTGGCAATATCTGATACATATACACTGTTATATACTGTTAATGTGTGCAATATCTCATACTTATATACTGTTAATGTTGGTAATATCTGATACATATATACTGTTATATACTGTTAATGTTGGCAATGTCTCATACTTATATACTGTTATATACTGTTAATGTTGGTAATATCTGATACATATATATATACTGTTATATATTGTTTATATTGGAAATATCTTATATTTACATACTGTTATAAGTTGAATATCTTTATTTCCTCCAATGCATGAAGATTAATTCAACAGATAATGTAAAGAAAAAATTTAAATATACATTGACATTGTTTTAGATGTCATTATCTTTTTTTAAAGTTGCAGAAAGAATGGATATTTTCCTTTGACAATTAACTGTTCATTTCTTAGAGTTCATAAATTTTACAATATGTGTTAAATATGGCTGAATTACACCACAGGCGGTGCAGCCAATGCACTAGCGCTGGTTTCATTTTAAAGAATGTCCTTGAGGATTCCACCATTAGTATATTCCAGTGTTCGGGACTAACTTCCAACATATCATCATCATCCCCTCCAAGAAGGAAGTTTATAAATCTGTCATCATCATTCAAAATACTGACACTCTGTACAACTGGAAGTAGATTCACAATAGTTGTTTGTAGTCTGTCTCTTTCGTCAAAATATATACGACAGTCAATTACTAATTGTTTCACAAATATCATCCGCATTTTGCTTACACGAGTCACAGATACACTTTGTTATAGGTAGTGCTCTAAGTTTCACAAGAAATCCAAATTCTCTGCACATGTCCTGTAAGTCCAAACACAGTAACCACAGTTTGTGCGGAGCGATTCTTGGATGTATGGTTTGGAAACGAGTAAGATCTGGACGCCTTAGTATACGCTGTTTCCATTCAAGTTCAGACGTCTCTGATACTGCATTGTTTACAATATATTTCCAAGCAGGAAAGCAGCCGTATTTAATAAAACTATTCAGATATTCTTCAAGACCATATTTATAAACCGTAGTAATCAGTGTTCAGAAGATGTTCGTGCATTCGAATAATCCAAAAATGAGAAACATTCCTATGTTGAAATTAAACAACTGTTTGTGTATTTTGGTAATATCTGTCAAACACAGTCTTCCAAAAAACAGTAAACGGTACTTATCTATGTAGTGTGTCAGCCTACAAATTCCAAGAGTTTCAATGGTACTCTCTGACGGGGAATTTTTGTCAAATCCTTGAAGGATTCGACAGCACTTCCGTTGGGTTACCTCAAGTTTGTCCAAACTTCTCTCGCGCGCTACTCCCCACGTCTCACACGCATACATGCCGGCGGGTAAAATGACACGTTTCCAGATAAGAGAAGACGCTATCGGAGTAATTTCTCCAAATCGAAGGCCGATATCTCGAAGAGAATGAAATGATCTTTGTAGTTTTTTGCAAGCCCTGTCCAGGCATTTATTTACAGGATTAATGTTGGATATGACAATTCCTGCGTATATCACACTTTCCTTTGTTTCTATTCTATTTTCTCCCATTGAGAAGTCATATTTTGCAGCTTGGTTTCTGTTGTTAAACACGACTATAGCACTCTTAGACGCGTTTTATTTCAATTGCCATTTGAAGGCATACATTCTTGATGTTTCAATTAAGTTTTGTAAACCGTTTTTACTAGAAGATATCAGACAGGTGTCATCAGCAAGTAAAATACCAGGTATATGTCTATCAACAATGTTTATGCCACATTTTGTTTCATATATAGCCTTCATCAATCCGTCAATATATAGTTTAAACATAAAAGCGCTGAGAACTTTTCCCTAACCGACACCGCGCGTCACGTGTAAGAAGTTGCTTAGTTCTCCCTTTAGTTGAATACATACTTTTGTGTGCATGTAAGAGTTGAAGTTACTTTTCCACATCCGGCCGCGTATACCAAGTTCATACATTTTATAAAAGAGACCATTCAGCCATACCCTATCAACCGCCTTCTCGTTATCTAAAAAAGCGATGTAAAGCGAAGATTTCCTTTCGGTATAGAAGGACACTATTTCTTTTAACATGAAGATAGCTGGGATCGCTCCCGTATTTTTTTCTAAATCCAAACTGTAGAGAATGTGGAAAATCAACCTTGTTCTGTATAATCCTTTTCTCTATCCTTTCTAGCAGTACTTTTTCAAAAAACTAGCTGAGTCGGAAGGATTCTTATTCCCACCTTTGAAAATTGTTATCACTATTCCTTCCTTAAACGTTTGTGGAACATATTGACTTGACATTATAATATTGAAATAATGCACAATGATTTGACAAGGGTTCTTCCGCCATATTTTATATGTTCATTGCAGATTCCATCAAGCCCTGGGGACTTACCAGTTTTCAGTTTTCTTATTTGAAATTGCAGTTCATCTTCTGATATTTCCCTTTCAAGCACACTATCTACAATGGTAGAAGATTTTGAACATAAAACCTCTTGAATTTTGTTACTAACCTCGGATTTAAAGTGCGTGTCAATTAACTCCTCTGTATCCGCTGACAATAAATTACCGTAATACTTTGCCCATAAACTACACTTTGTCCGATCATCTGTGGCCACCGTGTCTTTGTAGATGAAAGGTTTATCAATAGGCGTATTGCCACGTTGTTTTCTTACAGTTTTATAGAACTCCTGAATATCTATTTCAGACGAATTCAATAGTTCATCTTGTTTTTCCTTGTTCCATTTCTTTGTCGCGTAGCGTTCTTGTTTTCTAAAGTCTCGTTTCCTGTCTTTATATATTTGGTACATCACATTTGATTCCGTCCTTGGTTTTCCGTCCGCTATCCATAAGCGTCTCGCTGCCCTCATATTATAATGGTGATAGTTAAGTTGATACTTTTTCCAGTACGGTTTTAAACATATCTTAAATTTCCCGACAGGAATGTTCTCTTCAGATGCCGACTTCATAATGTCTATTGTATTTTCAAGACATTTTTCTAAGGACATACATTTGATTGAAGACAAATCCAGTTGAAGATTTGTGAGTGACTCTTCCACTTGGGTTGAATACATACCAAGTTGAAAGCAAGATGCTTTATTCCACTTAGGGAATCCATTTGCCTTTTGTTTCTCTTTTCTAGGGAATGCGGTTTCATCTATCGAGACGAGTATTGGAAGATGGTCAGAAATTTTATACGAGCATGTACTGTCAACTTTACACGATCTAATGAAGGTCTCCAAGTATGCTGGAATAGCTATATAATCTATCAGTGTTTTTGATGTATGTTGCTTATTTGTCCATGTGTATGCCGGTCCCGTTCGGATAGTCAGATTCACAGCATTAATCTTGTTTCCGTCAGTTAAGTGTTGAAGTAATATTCTGGATCTGTAACTGTTGGATGACACGTCCGCGTTGAGATCGCCACAAACGATTATTGTACCTTGCTCATAACATTTATCATATAACGCAAATAACTCGTTTATACTGTCACAATACTGCTTGTCCGTTTTGTTACTGGAAGGCAAGAGCACAAATAGCCGTTCCGATTTTTGACTTCTCAAACAAACCGCTGTTATGTTGTCCGAGTTTTCGGTGACAATTCTACGAATTGTACTAAATTTTGACATTCTTGATTGAATCGCTACACCTCCAGACCCACGTAATGACACATTATCCTGTTTTATAGTTCCAGTGACTTTAAAGTCTTTATCAAAATGTTCTAAAAACCCGACGTTTGTATTGTTAAGCCAGTGCTCACATACTACTGTGTTCTTTAAATGTTCCGTTAAAAATGATGTCCCATACATCACCCCTCTAGCATTCCATGTACACAAATTTATCATGACTGGAATTAGTGCAAATATAACAACATATAAGGAAGTGTATTTAATAGTTAGAATCATTATGAGAAACCTCTGTTTTCATTCGCTACACGGGGAATCCATTCGCGGCAAGTAACCCCTTCTGGCCAGAAGTTTGGATCTAATACTGTCGACGTATCTCTAGCAGCAGTATTCACTTTAACGGTATACGATGGTATACGGAATTTGGTTTCCTCCTTCATTTTTAATAGCTTTACAAATGTTACCACTACACCATTCTCGCGACAGTGTTCTCGAATTCCTTGTCCAACTAACTCGAACGGTCTATCTGCTGTTATATTGGCAAGAACTAAACTCGTCACACAGCGTCGCATTATACCTGTAAACGAGCTAGTCTTCGGAACAAGTCTGTGTTGATTGTAGTCATGACCACTATAGCCTTGAGAGCCCGTGTGTCGTCCGTTACTGAAATCAGGAGGGTTTTGGTTCTGATTACTCCTATGCTCAGTTCCTTTGGCAGGAAACATGTTGCCTCTATCGAAGCGTTTATGTTTGCGCTTGACGACTGTAGACCATTCATCCATCAGCGTATTTTCTGTTGTGTTATGTTGTACATCGTTCCAATTCTGACTTTCAGAGGCAGGATTCCTAGTGTCGTTACTATGTAAATCGCCACTTACACAACGTTCCCTAAACATGCTGAATTCCTCATTCGGAACCTCGAATTGATCTGTTTCGGTATTACAGCAAATTCCTGATACAACTGTGAACGGTTGCTAGGTTTCATGGCCTCCGTTCAGTCGAT